ACAAAATAGCAAAATGTCACTGGCACTCTCAACACGACACGCAAGAATGGCACAATTACACAGAAGACAAACACTTTAAGTGATTGGAAATACTTTGATTGAATATATAAAAAATATATTTTGCATTGTATAAATTCACTTTTCCACATCCAAAATGTAATTTGTAAACAATGTTTGTAAATCCCAGGTCCTGAAGATGATCTCAATAAAGATCGAAACGTTGGCATGATAAAGAAAATGTTTTTCTGAAACCTATATCACACCAGACCGCATCTCACGATTTCTAAATAAATATTAATATCTCATTGGAACTCGACACAGAACCGACACATATCTACACAGAAAACACACACTTTGAGTGATTAAAAATAATTGGATGAAACATAAAATTTCTATATTGTGTTCATCATCGTATAAATTTATTTTCACATGTTACATGTGTATTTCTATAATTTAAACAATGTTTATAAATCCCAGGCCCTGAGGATGATCTCAATAAAGATCGAAACGTTGGCACGATAAAGAAAATGTTTTTCTTAACCTACATTACACCAGACCGCATCTCATGATGTCTAAATAGTAGGGATAAACTATTATTTTAAAAAAAAAACTCTTTAGATAAATTGTATTAACTGCTTTTCTCAACTCTTAGAAAAACCTTTTAGAATACAATTAATTATAGAAAGAACAATAAAAATGTTTCGTGATTACCGTTTATCGTGTTTTATCGTTTATTCTCAAGAGGTTGAGATGGGATTGGAAATGAGAGGCAATTTATTATTTTGCTTTTGTAAGGGGGGAAGAAAAGCAATCGATAAAGCAATACATGAGCTGTATCTCGCCATAATCTAGTAACTCCATGAATCAATCCTCTTCCGATGATTATCATTTCCGTATAGGCGGATTATATGAGGTCTAATTTTATTCAAAACCTCCATTCTAGCAGGAACTAAGCCAGGTTGCCTGATTGATGTCTATTCGAGGTCCTCTGTAGGTTTAATCCTTGCGACTTGACCCTTCAGTGGCCAGATGCCATCCTCGGATCCACCATTTAGCTACCAGCTCACTTATCAGGAGCATTAATGTATTCAGCTTTTGCAATGTGCAAGAACGAAAGAGCCGTCAATTATGAGAAAAAATACACCAGGTCAAAAAGCTGTTGGCGCATAATTTTAATAAAACATTACAATTAATTAAGGTTTTTAGTTGAGATGAAAAAAAATCAATGGCACGAGCGGGATTCGAACCCACGATCTTCGGCTAGATACGCCGCTGCTCTACCACTTGAGCTATCGTGACCTCCATCCACTCTCCATCCACACCAGAATCCAATCCGATTACACGACATTTGAAAAATGGCAAAAAGGAGGGAAAATTCGTAAGGTGGGGTTGAGATAGGAAGTTGATGTCCGAGTGGATCGAGGTCACGATAGCTCAAGTGGTAGAGCAGCGGCGTATCTAGCCGAAGATCGTGGGTTCGAATCCCGCTCGTGCCATTGACTTTTTTTCATCTCAACTAAAAACCTTAATTAATTGTAATGTATTAATTGGTCAAGCGGACCACGAAATTAGTTAATTTAATAAAACAGTACTACTATTTTTGCAAAATAATTATTAGAAAATTTCCTGTCTCATAGTAACCAATGAACTATATAATACACACGGTGTTGATTTATTTTAACGCCACTGGTTTTGTAAAAAATTGCTCAACCGAAAAATAAAAAGAGAAGGAAAATTAGAGGATAGTCAAACTTCAATCAGCCCTTGTCCGCCAGTTTTATATATTCGGACCGATTCGGGCTGAAATAGTTTTCCCCATCTCGATCTACGCCGGTCCGACTGAGAAGAAATGGTAACCGGTTTGATGAAACGGGTTACATGATGAAGGCAGGCCCGTTGGACCCCACATCAAAGCCCGGTTCGGGGCTTATCCGGTTACATTGAATATTCTCCCCCGCCGCCAACCCGGATGCCATCATTATTGTCTCATAACTCAGCGGTTCATTGCAGACTAATTTCCATTAATTCCGGACCACTTTCTCAGAAACGTGAATGCAAATCGGGTATCAAACGGCTTGGAAACACCTTATATATTGGAGTTGGGAGGCATACGGTTTTTCACTAGGCTCACTTACAAAAATTTGTTATTATTTTCAATCATTAGCAGTTAAACTTCCTTCAAAACGAGCTACCAAAAGTTACCAATAATATATCTAAAAAAATCCTTTTTTCTTCCTGTTTCATCTTTACACGTACTTGGAGGCAATAGATATATTTTCGATTGAGAAAAGCATTAGTTTGACTGCCAACTCTCCTGGCCAAACGAAAAACAATCAAAACATAAGAAAAACAACAACTACAGAAGTACATTTAATGTGCAATGCTAAAACTAAGTAATTCTGTCATTCCACAAGACCCCAAACATTATTTCAATTGAAGAATAAAAACTGTTGCTCCGACAAAAATCATTTTAACCTGCAAAGTCTACCTTTAACAGTGGCTTCATTAAAACCACTCTTTTTTTAATGGAAGCCAAACTGTAGAATTACACAAGATACTTTGTCCATCTTTCTTCCTCTGGGAAACTTAATTCAAGAAAGCAAGAAAAACGACTCGATTTAAGTTGAAGGCACGCACGCAGGCACACTCTCACAGGCTTAAAAGTTTTAAAAATACGGCCTGTAAGAGTGTATTTTTTTACATTCAAGAAATTCGATTAGCCATCTAGGGCGCCGGGGCGTAAAACTAGACGCGATCTTCTCGGGGGGAAACGATTACGGTCGAGGTGAAGACATTTCAGGAGGTCTCCCATCTATTTTTTAAAAAATGTTTTTTAACAAAAAAAAGGGCACCGCGAAGGAAGAAATTCCCCGCTATGCTTTCGTTATCGCGGCGTTTGTTTATTTGTCTTACTTTAAGGGGGTAGCGATTGATTTGCAGACCAAAAAGTGCAATTCATTTTTATTTATTAAACAACTTTTTTGTACATAATGAAATTGGTCCTAAGGGAGGCTGAGGTTTAGAAGTCCTTAAAATAATTTTTTGATAGTTGAGAATTAAGTGTTGGGGTCTTAATGAACTTGCAAATCTCCATCCCTAACGCTATTTGAAGTCTCTGGTATTTTATGTTTATTCTGAGTCAAATACTTCCTTTACATCCAAAAAGTCATTAGCAACTACTAATGGCCAAAGGAATCGCTTAAAAAAGTTGAAGTTCTTCACCTTTCGGCACATTTTTCTCTAAAATTATCCTATTGAAACAATTTTTTTAATTTTTAAAATTTAATTTTTTTAAGCGATAATAGGCAAAACATTATAGGACAACGGGAACAATTCCAGCTCGGTCAACACCTTTCCCCAAAACTATTATATTGAAACAATTTTGTTTTATTTTGCCGAATATGTAAATAATTTACGAAGCAAACTTTAAGAATAACCCCAGGAACGGAGAAAGAAATGTATCTGTACAAACAAATGTATTGAAAAAATTTTAGGTTCTTGAAAAAATTAACAATTCATTTTTTTAAACCCCTAGCTACGAATTCGTAGTGTAATAAGAAAAGTAAAACAACAAAGATTGGTTATAATAGGACGGTTTTTTTTTAATTGGTGCCAAAATAGGCAAATTTTTCAGCATCTCTTTAAATTATTAAATGACTTCGAAAAACTACAGAACTATGATTAAACTTTATAATTTTGAAAAATTGCAGAAATATGATTAAGTTTTATAATTTAATGCTGAAACAGAAAGCACAGACTCTCCTTAAAAAATAAATGCTTCTTAAAATTAAAATCGAACGGTCGCAAAACCTTTAATAATTTTTTTTCATGAGATTCTTAATTTGTATGCACACACTTCTCTCTCTCTCTCACTCTCTCTCGCTCTCTCTCTCGCTCTCTCTCTCCCCTCCCTATAGCTACAGGGTTTTAACGGGATAACGTGAGGTTTCATAAGGTATCCTAACTGCGCGCTATTTTTTTTAACGAAATAAATCTATTAGATTTGACAAATATTAATCATTATAATTAATATGTCATTGCAGGTATATTATCATTCATATTAGCTACGTGTCTCCTTGTATATTGTTCATGATAAATACAATCAATTTAATTTGTAGAGACGTTTTAACGTAAAACGGAATTATTATTCAGAAATAGTGAGATGCGGTCTGGTGTGATGTAGGTTTCAGAAAAAATTTTCGTTATCGTGCCAACAGGCACTCCCAACACGACACGCAAGAATGGCACACTTACGCAGAAAACAAACACTTTGAGCCCTGAAGATGATCTCAATAAAGATCGAAACGTTGGCACGATAAAGAAAAAGTTTTTCTGAAACCTACATCACACCAGACCGCATCTCACGATTGCTGAATAATCATCAACTAACGGTCACTAATCACCACACAGTAAAACGGAATGATTATTTGGAGATGGTGAGAAGCGGTCTGGTGTGACGTAGTTAGAAAAACATTTTCTTTATCGTGCCAACGTTTCGATCTTTATTAAGATGATCTTCACGGCACACAACACAACACTTTGAGCCCTGAAGATGATCTCAATAAAGATCGAAACGTTGGCACGACAAAGAAAATGTTTTTCTGAAACCTACGTCACACCAGACCGCATCTCACGATCTCCAAATAATCATTAACTAATGGTCACTAAATACGACACACGTAAAACGGAATGTATATCGATTCAATATAATTTGTAAATCATGTTATATAAAACTGTGTGTAAATTCATTTCTCTATTTGGATAAATCCAGGTGGGCGTCAACTGATTCCTTTGTCAAATGCTCAAAGGAAAATTAAGCCCATAATCGTATTGCGACTGATCCGATTCAGAACCGGCTAATATCATCGCTGGAATTCTCGGTATCAAGAAATTAATTATCTTCGTTATCTTTTAATATGTCTGCGTGTGTTTATCTCTTTGACTAGATGAGCTGAAAAGCACGACGAATGCCTCTAATTAATTGACAATATTTTTTTCAGGGTGAACTGATGAGCCACAACATGTCGGCGAGGCTGATTCTCATAAACCAGAGTCTTGTACTGCAAAAGGTTACAAGGAGCAACAGCGGTATTTATTCGTGTCTTGCGTCGAACAACCAAGGAGAAACACTGAGCAACGAATACCATCTCAGGGTGAAATGTACGTAAACTCATTATTTCTGTACACTCTGCATGTACGAACATAATTCATTAACGCGAAACGGTTTTATTCTTACAATTTATTACTTAATTAAAAATAAATTTAATTTTGTGCGTGCATTTGATAAAAAAATTGACATGAGCTAATTTACTTTCATTTTAAGTTTAAGCATTATCACGTGAACGAAACCTCCGAAAATAGATGTAAATAACTTGTTGCCCTTAAATGTTCCTTCAATTTACCTAATTTGCTGTAATTTAAAATTTTAATATTGGATGTTATTTAATAACAACAGACGAAAGAGTATTTTGTGCAAATGCGACATGACTCGTGATGGTGCTATGCAAATTTCCCAGTTATTATGGAAACAAAATTATAACCGATTAGCTTTATCGTTACAAATGGGTTTTGACATAAACTGCGCATACTTATGCATGTGTTCAACTTCAGATTCGCCGACTTGCCGGAACGACAGGGTGATGATCGTTGGCGCTTCTCGGGCCGAGAGCCTGGACATACAGTGCCAGGTCGACGCCGATCCACCGGCTCGCAGTTTCAAATGGAAATTCAACAATTCAGGAGAGACGTTCGACGTCGGCTCAGAACGATTTTCAAGCAACGGTACTTTTAGCGTACTCAGGTACACGCCGATTGCCGATCTCGACTACGGCACTCTTTCCTGCTGGGCAGAAAACAACATCGCCGTCCAGGGAGTGCCTTGCCTTTTCCAGGTCGTCGCTGCAGGTCTGTAAAACATAATATTCAATAGATTTTTCTTTTATATAGCTTAATCTATTATAGAGCTTTTTACCAGAACACAAAGCTTTGTTAAGGGCTCCCTTGATTAATTTTCTATGACTTGGCTATTCCTCTCCCATGAATATGTGTCTAGACTTTACACACGTCTTCACACCAACGCAGGAGAGGTTCCACTGTTTCTTCTTCTTTCTAGTACTATCAGCACAGACTTCAGCTACTCTCATTTTCTACATATGCCTCTGGAGTCTGCAGAGTACAGTGAGCAGACCTCACTCTACCTAGAGTCATATCATTCTTTGTCCTAACAGGTTCTAGGCTTATTAGTTATATTGTTAGTTTTTTGGGATGGTACTTCGATGAAGGTTTTCTCATGTCCTGGAATACAGTCCCATTCAACTGATGACTTATTCACAACCCACTGTCCAATGGAACTACCTGTTTGTTTGTTGTTCAAGGACGGATAAATGACCTCATCGAACTATCATTGGCTAATTTGTCGGCCTCCTTGTTGCCCCACTTCTCTGTAGGTTCTGGTATCCAAAGAAGAATCATTATTTTGTTTGACCTGACGCCTTACAAGGTCTTGATGAATTTATTACCGATGACCTAAGTGCCACCTTGTTTTTCGAGAAGATGGCTATTCTTTTATTAGCAATACCTAGCCTTTTTGATCTCCCTAGCGCTGTGTTAAACAGCCATAGTATCAGCCTGAAAGACAGTGGCACATTGCCCAAGGCTATCTTCAATTATGTACATAGATACAAGCGCCTGACCCATATTCTTGTATTCGTGGAGCATCTATATACAAGAGTCTCTTTCTCCCAGTCTGCTGGTTTTGTCCGTTTCTCCAATTTATTTTGGTACAGAGATTTATCTGGACAGCAATGTAGTTACTTGATAGGGTTTAATAAGGTGTATTTTTAGACACAAGCTGCTCTCACACCATTCAGGTTTTTGAAACCATCTGTATAAACGTAGGTCACGCTCTATATTATAAGAAACTTCTGTTTATTCTTGGCTTGTGGCGTTGCTGTGCTTAGCTAGAAATAGAAAAATATTTAGTTTTACAAACGTTGAAGCAGCTCGTTTTCTCACTAGAGGTACTACATAAAGCTGTATTTCTTTAAAAGCAGAACTTTCATACTCTCATAAATGCCGGTAAGAACTAGATGTAATGTGGTATTTTAAAAAAATTTCTGAGATGGGGTTTGACATGGAAGATATTAAAAGTGAAATTTCTGTCAATGCGATTTCTTGTGAAAGGAGGTTATCCTTTTTTGAATCTAAAGCAGCAGACAACACAGAACTGATCTGTTCCTTGTTTTACGTACCAAAAATCAATCATACGGGACATCTTACTTTTCTTTATAAGATTCTCTAATATAAGAATACAAGACGATGTAAGTCCCGCAATTTAACTTAATAATTATAACTGGCAACCTTGAGATGGACAATTGAGTTATGAAAGTTAAGACATTATGGATACCTGGAGTTAGAGACGAAGGAATGAGATATTGCTAGCTTTGTTCTTGCTTAACTTCGCCGTTGCGTACTTAATAGAAAGGCCCTGTCGAACTACACCGATACATATAAATGGTATGCATGACTATGAACTATACGCCTACTAACATTTGGTACAATTTCGTAATTTTCTTGAACGCTTTGTACATTTCCCACACGAATAAGTTCTTATTGAGATTGATGTTTTCAGGGAAACCTTATCCAGTGAGGAATTGTACCCTTGGTAACGAGACGACTAGTTCTCTAGTCATTTGGTGCATTCCGGGATCGGACGGTGGAGTCAAACAGGTCTTCGTCCTCGAGCTGTACGTTGGAGGTGCGACAACTCCGCGTTTCAATGTCACCGCTACCGAGACGCCTTACTTCGTGCTCACCGACCTGGAGATGGACGTACCTCTCAAAGTGTCCATTTTCTCAGTCAATTCGAAAGGGAGAAGTGCCCCGGTCAACATGGAAGAGATCACGCTGAAAGATCCTCAGAAAAGAACAGGTAACCTTGTAACCATTGTTTTTGTATTCAGGTCTTGTTCTAAATTAGTATATTCCTCCCAACGGGGTTTTAGACCGGTCTTTTAGATATTTCAAGTTGCGTCATATTATTTCTTAAGCGACTGTCTTGAAAGTTGTACCTTCACAGTCTGTCCATAAGTGATCTGGACAATGTACAGATCGCGTCCAAATTTTTTTCAGTTGCTTTCTATTCCGATGAAAATGTTAAGAATTTTGCACCGGAATATAGACATTTTAAATAATGTGAAATCGTCAGGACGTCAGGATTGGATGCGCTAGATGTTGGAACCCCACAGTTCCACGCCGTATGTATAAAATGGTACCAGTAAAATCTTCTATAAGGTTAATTTAGTGTACATGGCCAAAACGGATTTCGGTCCTAGAAGTCTCCGTAGATGTCCAAATCTTTTGTTAGTTGTTAAGTAGTGTCAATTTTTTTTCCCCTTTCCTAAAAAGTTTTTTAAGGTCAGGAATTTTCCAAGAGACACGTGGAGTTTTTGAAAAACAGGTTATTTTATTTCATATTTTTCATCGACGTTACGGTCTATTTTCTCTGCCCATCATCAGAAAATCCTAACAAAAAGTACAGTTAATTATTACATATTTCAACAGTAGTAATTAATATTATTGTCATATCAATTAGGTATCGTGGTCCGATTGACCAACTAAATTCTTTTCAATTAATTAATCTTTAAGTAAGGTATTTGTTGAGATAAAAAAAAAGTCAGTGTCACGAGCGGGATTCGAACCCACGACGTTCGGCTAAATACGCCGCTGCTCTACCACTTGATCTATCGTGACTTCGATCCACTCGGACACCAACTTTCCATCTCAACCTCACCTTTTTGAATTTTTCCTCCTTTTTGCCATTTTGACACCAACTTCCCATCTATCCGAGTGGATCGAAGTCACGATTGCTCAAGTGGTAGAGGAGCGGCGTATTTAGCCGAACGTCGTGGGTTCGAATCCCGCTCGTGACACTGACTTTTTTATCTCAACAAATACCTTACTTAAAGTTTAATTAATTGAAAAGAATTGTCATAATTATTCCTTTTATGTAAGGTCTTGGTTGAGATCCCGCTCGTGACGCTGACTTTTTTATCTCAATCAAGACCTTACATAAAAAGGATAATTACTTGAAAGAAGTAACTTGGTCAATTAATTGGCCACTAAAACGGAAATATGAAAATAATATTAATTGCTAATTTTTAATTCACAAATTTCGTGGCCCGCTTGACAGATTAATATATTACAATTAATTAAGGTTTTTAGTTGAGTTAAAAAAGTCAATGGCACGAGCGGGATTGAAAAATGGCAAAAAGGAGGGAAAATTCAAAAGGTACGGTTGAGATGAAAAGTTGGTGTCCGAGTGGATCGAGATCACGATAGCTCAAGTGGTAGAGCAGCGGCGTATCAAGCCGAAGATCGTGGGTTCGAATCCCGCTCGTGCCATTGACTTTTTATCTCAACTAAAAACCTTAATTAATTGTAATTAATTGCTAATATTGAAATATGTAATAATTGACTGGACTTCTTATTATGATTTCTGATGATGGTCAGAAAAAATAGGTAGAAACGCAAAGAAAAATATGAAATAAAATAAACTGGTTTTGGGAAACACTACATGTCTCTTGGAAAATTACTCACCTTAAAACTCTTTTTAGGAAGAAGGGGAAAAAGGAAGAAAACAATAATTTTTATATGAAATATACTACAAGAATTTGGACTGTTATTTATCAAAAACCTATTTTCTCCTTTCACTGTAAGAAAGATTGTGTAAATGAAGTATCAGACGTTAGTTGGCCTGTGGGCAAAACATTGTTGAAACTTTCCATTATAAAACATATATTGTCAAAATATATGCGGCGATGCCGCGTAGGTTTACATAATAAGAAGAAGAAGCAAATTGGGAAGGAAGGTGTGTTTAACATAAGATGTATTGTTACATAGCTTAGCGTTGAGTAGCCATTCAAAGTAGGAAGACCACTCTCGTCAAAAGTTACCCCGCGCTTTTCACATTCTCTCAAAAATTCAGAGGGGCTCTTAAAGGCGATGTTCATTTATATTCATAAGGGCATTGATAGGAAGTACCACCCACCTCCGGCTCCGTAAACCCTGTTGTTAGGAAGTCCTAACACCAACGTTGCCCGATCAGGTCTTCTAAGGTATATTGAACGTAAAATAAATGTTCCTTCCCTAAATACCCTTTAACACGGGGACTTCGACTTAACGGAAGCCGAGCTACGTTAATACACTCTTCTGAATTTAAAAATATACAATTGTACTGTAATTTAGAGCCGGTTCCATCCCAATGGTTTGTACGGGCTGTTTCTTTTTTCTAGAATTGAAACGAACAAATTGCATCTGAAAAAAAGTTCACAGTAAGCAAGATTAAAACGAGATAAGAAAATGGTTCAATCTTCTTTATCGATATAATTGTAAATTTTTTAGTATAACGGATAATTGTTTTCTTATAGTGAGTATAAGTCAATTTTGCTGCATCAATTCACTACTCAATAAATTGAATAATACATTTATCAAAATAATGTCTCAATATGTGATTTTTACTAAGTCTATTCTTCTAAGTATTTAGGAACCATAGATAAACCAATTGTGATTTGTAAAAATATTCATCCTCACATTAAACAAAGTTTACCCTCCCGAAAAATATAAAATTGCGACGTGTTAAAGATTTCCTTGAATGAAAATGGTAGTCCTGGTGAGTAGTGCAAGTAGTTAAATACCGACATGAACACGAGGATCATTTTCACCACACAACTTTGACCCTCACTTCCTTCCTTGGCTTTCTGTTGTTCGTGCAGTCATGAAATTTCTTCCGAAACTTAAAACTTACGAGTAAACTTTCTGCGACTATCGCATAACTTTTCCCCGATGCAAAAAAAGTTTAAAAAAAAGAGAAGGTGTTTCGTCATTTTCCAGATCCGTAAATATATCAGTTTTTCTATTATTTTCGAAGCTTATCTCTTTCAGTTTTATTCTCTCTCTCTCTCTCTCGTTTTCTCCCTCTCACTCTCTTTCTCTCTCACTCTCTCTCTCTCGTTTTCTCCCTCTCACTCTCTTTCTCTCTCACTCTCTTTCTCTCTCACTCTCTCTCTCCCCCTCTCTCTCATTCTCTCGCTCTCTCTCACTCACTTTCTCTCATTGACTGANTTCTCACTCTCGCTCCCTCGTCCTCTCTCTCCCTTTCTCTCTTTCTTTCTTTCTCTTTCTTTCTCAAATTCACCTTCTCTCTCTCGCACTACTTTTTCTCACCCACTCACTCTCACTCTCTCTTTCTCTCCCTCTCCCTCTCCCCCTCCCCCTAACTCTCTTTCTCTCGCTCTCTCTCTCTCTCTCTCTCTCTCTCTCTCTCTCTCTCTCCCTCCCTCCCTCCCTCCCTCCCTTCCTCTCTCTCTCTCTCCAGGTGAAGAGTGTGATTCTATCATACTCTGTATAAACTCATACTCTGTCAGCAAGGACTTGAGGATGAGGAAATGTATAGACGGTCGCGAGCAAGCACAGTTGATAGTATAAGTCCATAACACAATGGCAATGTTGAACAGTAGAGACATTACTTTTAAATCCAAATGACGTTCGAGGATTATAATAGAGGTTTCGAGGATGTTCAAACTGTTCAATAACATGAATCTAAAAAAATTAACAAATAACAAGAGAATCCACTAGATAAATATAGCTTATAAATTGTAAATCCGAGAAAACGCATCGAAAGACAGATAAGAAAATGGTTCAATCATCTTTACAGACAAAGTTTATAACTTTTTTTATTACAACAATAAAACTCTTTTTATAAATCTAGATGTCGTAGATGTTTTATTTTTATTTTTCAATCGATATTGAAACTCGTATGGAAAAGTGGTCGGATGAAAAATACGATTAGGTAGACCTCTTTTTTTAATTATTTATATCGTGTGAGACAATTTTGCCGACGTTTAAACTGTCCAATGCAATGTCGCTGACCCCGTCCGGTTTCAGCAAAAAGCACGTGTTCTTTTCTGGGCAAATTTTATTATTTAGGCCAATTTTCACAACCGGCGTCCGTTCTAATCGAACTCGTTTTATGCCCCTAATTTTTATTAATTAAAATCATTTGAAAGGAAAATTAATTTCTCTCTGCGTTACCATGGTGAATTGTTATTGGATATGGCAAAATGGTCCGATTAGGTATTATGAAGGAAATCCATTTCTAAATTAATTTACTTTAATGTAACAAAACAATGTTGTTTTTTAACGAAAATTAAAAACTACCCCGCCTCTCAGTATAATCCTTGTAGTTCAGTGTTTAGCACGGTGAATGGTGCGGTGCAACTAATTAGTTAAGTACAACAGTAAGTATTGATGAAGTTAGGAATTATTTCTGGTAGGTAGGAAGGATGGAGAGGGATGCGGTCTGTACTACCGTGGGAACAGCCAACTGGCCCCCAAAGCGCTAAAGATTACAAGCTTACGAAAGTTACTCATCCAACTTATATGACAACGAGGTTTGGAAAGTAAGTCTGCTTACTTGAAGGGACTTGTGGCCTCAAACCTGCCAACATATCTACGTTAATCACCGAACCTCCTACAGGAAATCATTTACAATTTGATCAATACGTCATGCGAGCTAATGTGATGATAACTATGGTTTGGTTCATTCCAATTTGTGAGAACTCGGCCATTACCATTATCACCTCATTGCGAACAAAGTGAAATACACGTCTGCAACATAGACATTTTTGGTCAAAGGGTTTAATGAAATATTTGAAAAAAATTTCAATGAAATAACAGGAATGTTTGGTGAAATCAGTTAATTTAATTTTTTTTCCAAAAACACTTTCCACTTTTGCTTTAATTAACAATAATAAATTAATTTGTTTTATAATAAGAGGTACATTTTAAATTAACTTGCCATCCATACTGTGCTCACTCCCTCACTCTCAAATTCAGACTCGCTCACTATCTCTTCCTCTGTCATTCGCTCTTTATTCCCTACTCTCACTCACCTATTCACTCTTTCTTTCTCACTTACCCTTTTTCTTACTCACTCCCTCTACCTATTTGGATTTCTAGCGTTTTCTCTCTCTCTCTCTCTCTCTCTCTCTCNCATTCTCAATATTACACTTTTTTACGAATGATTCGCATTTGTGGCTTTTCTCATGTTTCTGTGCTATTCTCCCTCATACATCTTTGTATGTGTGAATAAGGAACTTTTGTGTTGACAGTCAGTAAGCTTTCAGCTTCTAGATCTACATTTGTTGTGTGTGTGTGTGTGTGTATGTGTGTGTGTGTGTGTGTGTGTATGTATGTGTGTGTGCGTGCGCGCGTGCGCGCGTGCGTGTGTGTGTGTGTGTGAGAGAGAGAGAGAGAGAGTGTTTGGATATGAGTATTTTGATTTTATAGGAAGTGTTTAGATCATTGTTTTTATGCCGTGTACGGCGTTTCGAGGTCCTCGACTAGAGGCAGCGGATGACGTTTCCGGTAGAAAGGAACGTGATATTTTAATAGATGGTAAAGTGAATAAAAAGATGGTACAGTTTTAACTATATCTACACCCTATACCGTGCAAATACATTTTCGATGTGTTTTTTACTAAACTCCGTTTCCTCCCCATATCTTGAACCGATGTTGTAATAACATATTTCCATTTGTAATATTCGTTTGTTGCCGGCGATGGTTCCGTCTAAAATTACAACTATTCTCCCGTCAGTTAAAGCATAAAAATATGTTCGAGGGTGGGCTCCGCTGAGTAGAAAGCAGTCTCACATTACCGCTCCACGGCAGGAATGGAATGACATAGCATGGTTTCGAATCATGTTGCCCAGCATTCCCGATTGGCCGAACAGCAAATTCCACACCAAAATTACAGAACAGGCCGAAATCGGTTGTGCTAATTAGAAAATACGTGAATAATGAGAAAAAAGTTATTTCCTTTTAAATTCACAGTCGGAGAATGAGTTAGATCGTAAATAAACAATCTACTTGAGCGCTTCAGAAATCATTAAAATAAACAACGTGTAATAAATGCTTTTATATGTAACTTAATGTTATAATTTATTATTCATTTATTACAGTTAGCCTAGCTTCAACTAACTGGGACCGAATCCTCTTCAGATTAGCCTGATAGTTGAGATAATTCAGAAACAAGTGGTAAAACTTGTTTGCTTTATTAATGAATTGACAAACCGGATCCTGCCTACGTTAAAAAATAACCTGAAATTTGTGTAAAAGCTGGACAAGGGCGATTGTGAAGGCGGTTCTGATCGTTTGAACTGCCTATCCCTTTCGGTCTCACGGATGCGTTTAGGCTTGTCGCAATCTTCAGTTTTAATATTAAATAATACTGTGATCCAGGAGCTCAATGTCCAACTTTGGCTAACGTATTTTAGCTTTTTTTAGCACCGATTAAAACAAGGTGGGCTATGCTGATTCGAACCCACAACCTGGCATGAGTCAGATGATCCAACATTCGGTCTCCTTGGTCCATAGTTTTCAATAATTTTGGTTGAAACCCATTGAAGATGGCAACAAGACGAATCTTTTGGTTTTGAAGTACGTGGATCTGCAGATCAAACAGCTCAAGAGGCGTAGAATTTTGTAGGATTGTTGCCTAATACGACATAGCCAACTGTATGAAATTTCAATCACCGACAACATACTAGAGCCGAATAAAACAATTAGCAGCATTTATCCTCTTAAGAATGCGCTTGTCTTTTCTGCTCAATTTCCGACAAAGGTGGTTATTTAGGTGGGGAAAGGTTGACACAGAAATAATTACTCTTAGACTGTAGTTCTGCAGTTCTTTATTTCAATCCGTGCACTTGTAGCACATATACCATTTTTTTAGAATTCGTACTACGTTGTAACACTTCGTATCAATCAATTGGTCAACAAAAATGTAATTTATTGTACTTCTCCCGTGACAATAAATCGATTACAACCCTACGTTATCTAGTTTTTCCTGTCCAGCCCTAAAAAAATCGTCTTCTCGCATAAAAATATGAAGAACCATAAAAAATTTACTAAAATTTATTAAGGGTGGGCTTCACATAAGGGATATACAGTGCAAATTGTTTGGACCTATCGGCAATCATATAAAGAGAAACAGTAAATTTTGAATTTATATGGTTGTGTTTTAAAGAATGTAGGACGATTTTTTTCTGCCAATCTTCTTTTAACACGGAGTTCTTTGGTATTTGTAAATTCGTTGAGGTGGATGGATATGGGTGCAACTGTGAGATCCTGCTTAAGGAGAGATCGTTTATCAGACCAAAAAAATCGATTTTTAAATATTTCTTTCTTTAAATGAAATTTTATGCATGGAATGAATGGTGGGTCTCATGAAATTCCGATTTTTATAAGTGTTTTAAATAATTTTTTGAAAGTTGGGAATCAAGTGTCCTGCGTGTCTTGCCTTGATGTATCGTACTTGTAACTCGCCATCGCTTAAGCTATTAAACAGACTCGTCTTTTACGTTTATTCTATGTCAGAAAGTACCTTCCCATCATCGTCTGTCGACTGCCTGCTACAAGATGATTCGGCTTCTTACTTTTTTATGACATAAATTGTGAGCTGCAAAAGGAAAAATTCGAGCTTGATCAGAAAATCGCTTCCTCTGAAAAAGTGGTATTTTTTTACCTTAAGGTAGACTTTTCTTCAGAACTCTCCATTATTACAAATAATTAAGGTTTTTAGTTGAGATAAAAAAGTCAATGCCACGAGCGGGATTCGAACCCACGATCTTCGGTTAGATACGCCGCTGCTCGACCACTTGAGCTATCGTGACCTCGATCCACTCGGACACCAACTTAATCTGGTTAACTCTCTCTAACCACTCGGACCATCTCAACCCCACCTTTTGAGTTTTCCCTCCTTTTTGCCATTTTTCAAATGTCGTGTAATCGGATTGGATTCTCGACGACAATTGAAATGGCCACGGAGAGCTTTAGTGAAGTATACTTCATTTTAAATCATTAAATTCACTAATTTCGTGGTCCGCTTGACCAATTCATATATTACAATTAATTAAGGTTTTTAGTTGAGATGAAAAAGTCAATGGCACGAGCGGGATTCGAACCCACGATCTTCGGCTAGATAGGCCGCTGCTCTACATCCCGCTCGTGCCATTGACTTTTTTATCTCAACTAAAAACCTTAATTAATTGTAATATATTAATTGGTCAAGCGGACCACGAAATTAGTGAATTTAACTCTCCATTATTTTGAAACGATTCTTTTTTATTTTGTCCAACACTATGCAAATCAAGCACTGTTTAAAAAACACCCAGGAATGAAAAATAAATGTTCTGGTAGAAACAAAATGTGTAAAAACTTTGTCACAATATTAGGTTTTTGCCAAATTATTTGCCTTTTTTAAACCCGTAGATCTAATACGTAGTGGCCCTGAATACGGACCCAACATACTTACAAATGGGCTTTTTTTCAAAAACATTGGCACCACGAGGGTTCATCCTTGTAGTTGATATACCTTCTTAAAGAACTATAAATAGTAAGAAAGAAACATATCTTCGTCTGACGAACGTTTTTAAAATACAGAACTTTTCTAAATGGTGAAGTTAGGTTTTATGTTAATTTCAAAGGTTTAGTTCTAATTTCCTAGTAACGCTTTATATTAAAATCCACTCTATTGTTTATAGGTGAAGGCGCCGACGTTGGTACACCCCCGCTCCTTGGAATCATCGGCGGAGCCGCAATCACGTTTCTTCTCATAATCGTGATTTTTGTATCCAAAATGAGGATGTCCAACCACAACTCGCCGGCGATGCAGTGCAAGAAGCCGACTCCTCCGACGTTCAATGCAAAACAACAGGTCAAAGATGCAGACGAAAGGGATCCAGACATAATACCAGCGAAATTTGGTGAGCTTATTACCAGTCATATATCTGTTTTTAAACAGCAGAGTTTAAGATGTTTTTCACGTAGTCGGAAAAATGCCTTTGGGAAGAAGACCCCTTGAAAGCTTGTATTTTCATTTGAGAAAGTCCATAATATACATTGGTTGTTGAATTGTTCATAATGTGAGCGAACCATTTTTATCCACCACTAACATGGCTAGGGACGTGCAATCCCCGATTTTAATGAGATATTTTTTGGTGATACTAGGTCGAAAAATCTTAGACACATGCCCGAGCGTTCTTTCCAATGGGCTCCAATTGAGCCAAGAATATTTTTTTTAAATAATTGAATGTTTTTTCTGTTTTTGTTGTGGATGTGTTTAAAGTTTATTGTTTATAAATCAATTTTTTATAGGTAAGATAAGGAGATAGGAGGTAGGATCGCAAAGACGCTTCTAGTAAAGTAGTCCCAAAAAAATTTTTTTTTGAAAAAAAAATCAATTCAAGGTAGTGTTAAGCACTTTTTAAAGCACATAATGCAGAATTTTTATAGACATCGAGAAACAGTTATATTTGGGTTAGATTAGTCAGAGCTAAAAACACACAAAAGCATCTTTTGTCTTCAGAAAGAAAACAAAGACCCACATTAAGGTGGAGAATATGTTGCCATTCGAAAGAAAAACACTTAAGCATGCTTTATGTGTTATCAGAAAAAAATACCAGTATTAAAGTGGAGAAAAAGTTGCTATTAAAAAGCAAGATAAAGCATGTTTTCTTGTCTCATAAAGGAGAAAAATAAAGCACGTTTTTTCTTCAGAACAGAAAAAGTAACACATTAAAGGAAAGAAAAAAAGCTGCTTTTGAAAAAAAAACACTAAAGCATCTTTTCATTGCCGGAAGAGAAATAGACCCATCTTAAGGTGAAAAAATACTACTAACAAAAACAAACTGTAGCATATTTTTTTCTTCAGAATGGAAAAGGAAGAACCAAATTAAAGGAGAGAAACAGCTACTTTTGAACAAAAAAATACTAAACCATCTTTTCTTTTGATAAAAGGAAAAACTACCCATATTAAGGTGGAGAAAAAGTTGCTATTAAAAAAAACACTGAACCATTGTTTCTTTCTTCAAAAGAGAAAAAAACCAATATTAACGTGGTGAAAAATTGCTATTTACCAAAAAAGAACCCATTGAAGCAGTCTTCTTTCTTTTATAAAAAAAGATCTACATTAAGGTGGAGAAAAATTTGGTATTAAAAAACTCACGGAAGTATCTTTTGTTTGTTCAAAAGGGAAAATAGACAAATGAAAATTGTCAATTTTTTTACGGTATCAGATGTTTCAGATTAAAAACTCCTAACTCCTCTGGATTTTAGCCAAATTCAATAGTTTTGTTGACATGTTAGAATGCTAGATGGTTTTATTTTAGCTTATGTCACCAATATTTCGATCTTTTGTCATTATAATTGCGAAAATAGGGATGAAATCAACACAAACTGTTCAAATGTTTTATTTTATATCATCTGTAAACGTTTTACAGTGACTCTTTTTTTGGTATTGCGTGTATTTTATAGGGTTGTAAGCCCTTGTGAAGTTTCCAGTCGATCGATGTAATTGTTTCGAAGTTAGCGCCATTTTTGTGATTTTCGAAAAAAAACCGTTTGAAAGGTAAACACTTCTAATAAAAATATTTTTTGATAGAAATTATAGTTGAGGTTCCGGCTTTAGAGATTCTCTCGACATGAATTTGTAAAAGCGCCAACGCGACCCAACGAGAAGTTGGTTTTCAATGTAGCTCAATTTTGAACGTGCGAAAAACGTGAAGTGCGACACCACTAAATATTGTCCTAATAAATCCTGTAAGAAAATAATTTTAAATTAGTGATTAATTTATATGTAAAATATTATTTAAGTAAATTTTTAAATAGAAGGTAAATCAAAACCTATTATATTATTTACGCATCTATCTCTATGTTTAATTTTACATTTTTTTATTTCAAATTTCTCAAACCAATACAGTTATCTCCCATTGTTGAAATTGTGTAACACTGCTGTATTTCAATTTAAATTGAGATTGTGTTTTGTTACATTTTGATAGTCGTTAAATTCAGAAAATATGTCCGGTTTAGGCAAGTGTTCTTTAACACTCATTTCAATTTCTTTCCCGCTTTGTCCTATAAATATTTAATATCGCAAACCGCAAACATTACAATTAAGTTCGTTTTAACGAGGGGAAAAAACCAATTGTAAGTATGTCGGGTTCGAACGCAGGGCCGCTGGATTCGAACTATGAACCTTTCCTTTATAATGATGTGGGCTGTATCAACGCCTGAACAATTAAGAAGGTAAACCCGCTTTATGACAAGACAACCTTATCTTTAGGTTTTTAGAGGATGTTTCTATGTGAACGCGTACCTCGAAAAGCTACTCTAAAGCCTTATATTTTAAGGATTTTACCTAATTTTTCTGATAGATCACACAAGTATGGCAACCTAAAACTAATGATTCATTTTTTGTGGGGCGGCTGAGTCCGATTGTTGCTTCTTTTATTTTCTTTTCTTTTTCTTTTTTTTTCTTTTAATAAAGCAACAATCGGACACAGCCGCCCCACAAAAAATGAACCATTAGGTAACCAGTGTTGGGCAAAAATTAGTCATGTCTAATGATTAATGATTGATCACTCAGACCGTTAGTCATGATTGGTAGTAAATGACTAATTTAGTCATTAGTCACCATATGTGATTGATGGCAAAATTAGTCATCATTAGTAATTAAATACGAGGCAAGACTAATTTATTCAGAATATGACTAAATTTCGATAAATCTTGTACAATTGTGTGCTCAAAAAATTAAAAATACACAACTTCATCTCTTTTAAAAAAATTTCTAACAGAAATTTATTTCATCAAAAGGAAAATAATTCAACACCTTATTTAACAAAAATCAATCATCCAATTATAAGTAAAACTATGTCGTTATGAAAAGCCAAACAAATAATGATAATAATAATAATAAAATTTAAAAAAATCCTAGAACAAGCTACGCTTAGAAAAGTAAATATGTTTACATAACCGATCAATGGAAAAAATATTTCTTTGAATTAAAATTTATTCCACTTGAAAGTATAGATTTCTACATTATGTGGAAAATACACCATCAAGCGGTCTTGACTGTAATAAAATAGACATGTAGAATAATTATGTAACTTTGGTTTTCTTTTATGATAACACTTTTTGAAGTTTGGCCTTGAGAACGACTCCCATCTCAAAATTTTCATCCGGAGTCTGTTGGATTTTGGTAAGTTAGTCATTGTAGCCAGAGTTGAGCAAAATCTAACTAATTCAATCATGATTAAGAATTTTGATTGAAGTTTAAACATGATTGAAATAGTTCGATTTTGCCCAACTTTGGATCTGCTTATCATCGCCGTTTCTTAAGACGCACAGAAGACAGAGTTGGGCAAAATCTAACTAATTCAATCATGATTAAGAATTTTGATTGAAGTTTAATCATGATTAAATTAGTCATGAGTAAATTAATCATTATATGATTTAGTCATGATTAATTCAATCAATGACTAATTCAATCATGAACTTAACTTCAATCAAAATTCTTAATCATGATTGAATTAGTTAGATTTTGCCCAACTCTGTAGGTAACAATCAGAAAAAATAGGTAAAATTCATAAACGAGAAGGTTTTAGAATAGCTCTTAGATGTACGCATTCACTTACGGAAAGGTTTGTAACTTACAACAAAAGCATAAAGACGTAATTTAAAAATTACTTAAATTAGCTAAATACTTTGTCTTCGCTCCAAGGTCCATTTCCATCTAGTATAATCAAAAAATGTTTCATTAAAATCGTCCATCTTCCGTTCTCTCTAATAGTCGAAACTCGATGGACTGTCCAATTAGGACGGATAAGAGTTTATGTTGAAAATACCCATTATTAACAGCTGTTGGAATCATTACCCGGTGTAATCTTTACGAACCCGTCTTCAAATGAAGTTTGCGGTAGAGGAAAATCTTCGGATATAACGATGGACAGAATAAAGGAAGGATTCCGTGATACCTATAATTTAGAACAAAATAACGTAAAATGTTTAAACTGATAAAGTCTAGAGGAAATGCAGATAACGGAACAAGAATTGTTACGGCAAGAAATTAAAACTGAGTTTTTGCGTAATTACTAAGGGGAATAAGATTGCTTTCATTTTGCTTACAAATGTCTCTATTCAAAGCATATCGCGTTAGATTTCTCAATTATTCGTTTAGAAGAAAAAACATGGATTTACATACGTAATGTTTATGTAATAAATTAAAATATACATTTAAATATTTACTATTGGTGTAGATTTGCTTATCGTTCCTATATAAATTGAAAACGCGTTCATATTTTCAATTAAATGCTATTGTGTCGTACATTGTATTTTGTTCTATTTTTATTTTTCAGAAGGGAAAAAAGACCCACACTAAGGGGGAGAAAAATTTGTTATTAAAAAAGGTGTATATTAAGGTAGAGAAAAATTTCTATTAAAAACACACTGAAGCATCTTTTTTCTTCAGAAAGGAAAAAGGCCCTTTCAAGGTGAACAAAAAAGTGCTTTTCATAAAAACACACTAAAGCATCTTTGCATTCTTCATAAAAGAAAACAAGAGCTATATTACGATGGAAAAAATCTATTAAAAACACACTAAAACATCTTTTCTATAATCAGAAGAGAAAAAATGCACATATTATGCTGGATAAAAAAATTGTTGCTAATAAAAAAAAAACAGTAAAGCATGTTATCTTTCTTCAGGAAGGAAAAAAGACCCACATCAATGGGCAGAAAAATGCATATTAAAGAAAACAAATTTAAGCACCTTTTCATTTTTGAGAAAGGACAAAAAGACCTACATTACGATCGAAAAATGCTATTCCAATATTAATAAAACACACTAAAGAATCTTTTCTTTGTTGCGAAAAGAAAAAAGATCCATATTAAGGTGGAGAAAAAATTAGTATTAAAAAAAGACCTGAAGCATTTTTTCTTTTTCATTATCAAACAAAGGTATGGAAGTATCTTTTCTTTTTTAAGGAAGGAAAAATGACCCATATTAAGTATATAAAAAGTTATAATAAAAAAAACACTGAAATATCTTTTGTCTTCGGAAAGGAAAATCGAATATTAAAGTGAAGAAAAAGTTGCTATAAAAAAATCAAACTGAAGCTTTTTTTGTCCTCCCAAGGAAAACAAAATCAATATTAAATTGAGGAAAAAGTTGCTATTAAAAAAGCTAACTGGAGAATCTTGTCTTTCTTAAGGAGGGAAAATCGACACATAGTAATTCTTGTCTATCTAATAAGGTTTTTTTATTTAAATTTTAAACGTTAGTAACGTGGCAAAACATAACGTCTACGTAATAAGATAAGTTTTAATAAATTTAGATAAATATTTTGATATCAAAAAGTTTTATTTTTATTATTTAAAACCTAACCTTATTTGACATTATACTACTTTTGTACGTTTCAGTGCTTTTTATTTTATCCCTATGTTGCTCTCACCCCCTGGGAACTTAACTTCCCACTGATGACATCTGCCGGAATTCTTTAATACTATTTATTTAACCCTTTCGTTTTTTTATTTAGCGTAGGTTTCTAAAAAAACACAATTACACTATCAGATAACGATGCAAACATTTACTTTTTAAAACCATCAAACTTGGAAGTTTATTTTTAATCCTGAAATAATGAAAGTAAGCACTGTACAATAAAGTCAATTGCAATTTTCACACAAAAAATCCCATTTACGACGTAAGATTAGCACATTACGAACCCCCAAAAGCTGAATAAATAAAGGCAAATTTAAGTAAATTATATATTTTTTAAACCGTTATGAATTGCACAATGTGCAATACAGTCGTGTAAACTCCTATCAAAATACCTTTTTCCCAGTTTTTTTTTTTTTTTTTTTATCCAGCTAAGGAATTACATCTATTAACAAAAAAAATTAATTGCAATGTACAGATGTCGTTGGTCTATTTATTGTGCGATTGTCACTTTTTCTCTTGCTGCCGAAAGTCGGCCGTGATGTAAAACAGATATGACAGCAGTTATTTTTGAACAGGTTAGCTTTTGGCTCTTCTTTTTGCGAACGAAACGTATTACAACATTTAGGATTGTGAAACGTTTCCAAAAATATCTTCAAAAAAATGCTCTGAAGTCGGTAAGATCAATTAACCCACTTAACTCGTACCAATAGGTAATTTCTAATTAAATTATTACATGTCTATTTATTTTAGATCTGAAAATCGCTTCTAAAAAAATTAGAAACTGCAAAAAAAATTTAAGTCAAAAATTAATTTTCTCATTGGCTCCTACTACTAAAGCCCACAAGTTCCGAGTTTTTTGGACTAACAGCTTTTTAATAGAAATGATGAATGGTGGAGTGAATGCCGGTGTTCAATCCTTTTTTAAAAATATAGTTCCTACTCAGCTCAAGCTCGAAATCCGGATCGTTGCAAAACAACATACTGTGAGTAGGAACTATCTTTTTAACAGCTTTTTCCCAATTTAGTTTTCTTTAACATCACTTCTACTCGAATTTCAATTTTGAATTCATTTCTTGTTGAGGAGAGTCTTGTTTACGTACTGTTTAAGCATAATAAAAAGGGTCTCATTTCCGATATTATTTTCTCAAATTCTATTTTGTGTAAATAATAAATACACTTAAGTCAATTTATTAGTGTCATATTTTAATTAGTGGAGTCAACGATGAAGCTTTTTTTTAATAATTCAAATGGCCTGTTACTAGATTAAGCATAGGTTATAAGCGGTTCACCCGTTCACCGACGGGGGCACCTGATCCTGAGCCAAAGCCCACCCAGGTGCCTCCTTTACAGAGAAAGGTTGCTCAATGTATTCCACATAATAAAGGCTTGTATGCTCCATAAAGAGAGCGTGTAGGCATGTCGCCAATTTTAAGAACGGTTCTGTGTCCCTTTTGAAGTCGTGGGTTTTTTTATAGTATATAGATCTGTTTTATGAGTTTGGTTTGAATGTGTGTATTTATTAGCGAGAGTGGTGAGAGGTGATTGTGAAATATAGCATTACCATCGTCCCTTCATTAATGTATACTTTTAGCATTGACGGCGGTATATTTATAAAAGTACTCAATCGACCCTAATTTACATGAGATTATTACTATTGTGTGTAGATCGATAGAGAATATTGAGTACTCCACCGACAAATCAGAACGAGTGCAAAATACATAGATTTGAATGTATTTATCTGTGCGATTGTATTATAGAAGTTAGTTTAAGCAACAATTTCTTAAATTATTTTCAAATGGTTTTCCCCATATTTTTTTTAATAAAATCGAATGTACAAGATGAATCTGCAATTAGAAATGTATTTCAGCATTTGAAAAACTTTTTTTCTAGGTTCAGTGGATTTTGAAAAAACCAGGGGGACACTAATATTCTAATTATTTTGCGGGAAAAGGCGGTCCAGGTTGTTTAGTTTAGCCTGCCCAATAGCTGTCAAATCAATATACAGAACTGTACCAAATAATTTTTGTTTATTTGCATATGATTTTTGCTTTCATATAATTTCCTAATGATTTTTTTGTTGTAGAACCGAGAACCCAGGCCGAAGGTCCAGCACCGTACACACAAGGCAAATGCTCTTGGTCCGATTCGAGCCAGGTAATTATTTTGTCCCGTTTATTCCGGCATTTTGTAAAAGTACATATTTTGTTTCTGATTTGTAGACATTTCGAGGTGGAGGAGATACAAGAGAAGGCATTGAACTAAACGGACTGGCCATTAAGGAAAAGCTTATGGCCGGCTCTCTACCAGAAAGCTGTGTATGATAAGTTTCAACTCAACGTTGTTAAAAACCATGCTATTTTGAACTTGTACAGTGCATCGTTTAATGAAAAAATTAATACATATTATAATGAATGTTATAATTCCAGATATTCATTATCTTTTTAAATGATAATCTTATCCTTTCTCCGTGGCTCATACGCATAAAATAAAATATTACGAGATGAAATCGATCCTTTGATTTGATTTAGTCTAATTATAATGTTGCAAAGGTATTTAAGATTTCAGACAAGTCTTTGGATTTCAATGTGAAGCCTGAAATCGCCTCCTGAAAAAATACGTTTCCGATTAAGAATAATGTGGTCTCAGGAGTAAAACTTATCGAGACAGAAGAAGGCAGACGGTTGGAACTCGAGGGTGAAAATTCGATAGAGGATATAAAATAAAATAAAACCATGATAAGAAGAATATGATGAGTAAGGAGGAATAAAATATCAACAGGTGGCAATTGATCACCTTTTCAGACGCCAGCTCACAGATGTACTTTTATTAAAATTGGTAATCCCTTTCGCTTTCATCCCATTACATTCGTAGAAATCCGACGTAATTAATTCAAACGGATTTATTTCAGTTTTAATTGATATTATTGCCTGATGTTTTTTTTTATTAAATAAAAATCCACCGGTTCGAATAAATATATACGAGGAATTCTCTTATTCAAATTAAACTTTGATGTAATTTTCTGATTACATAATGTACATTATATTGAAAAACCTTTGAAGTTTCTATATTTTCTATATAATTTCAATTGTTAATTTTATATCATATCTGTTTCATTCAGGCCATAAAACATATTAAAATTTATTTTTCAAATATATTTTTATACTAAACTGATTGATTTCTTCAGATTAATCAGCTGCATAAAACATAACGAGAAAAGCTCTACTTGCAAATGCACTGTTTTTAGAAAACAATAACATACACACCAGAAAAGCTTCAGGATACGACTTTTTACCTATAAAGTACATAAATGACATAGTTCATCCCTATCCTCTTACGTTCCAGTAAAATCCGAAGTCCGTCAAGGATGTATCCTTAGCACGATGCTTTTTAATATATACACGGCTATCCTCTCTGCACACTCAAACCCATCATTCGTAGCCATCGAGGGAAGTGACTTTGCCCCCCATTACCCAGAAAATGAGTACTTAATTCTTCATACAATAAGAACGATCTTTATTCTTAGGAGGCAACGATTTTACCGCCTCATCATCCCTATCCTATGTTCCGGTCAACTTCCTCAAGGATATAACGTTGGCCAGATCCTTTTTACATTATCCACTAATGATATTCTTACTTCTCCAAATCCCCAACTTCGCCGTTGAAATGGCTATCCTCTCGTCTCACTCAATCTCATTCGTTGTAGCCACCCGAAGAAAGTCAAAATAGAACGATCTAACGTCTCATTGGTCCAGGTTCTACTGTGCAGTGTGGTATGTTCATGAGGTGAACTTTTCCGACCCTAGAGCTAAATCAGTATTGCTCGGGTGTCTTTCTAAACAGTCCAGGATTTCGACCTGGTATGGCACCTCGGCTTATGTGAAAACTCAGGAAGATACTTCCCAAGTTCTCAGTACTTATTGCAATCTATCACATCTCATTCCTATATTATTAGAGTAAAATTTCCAAGGAGTATCTTTTCCAGTAGATACTGATGACATTCCTACTCCAGTCATCTCTATGGACATTTCATCATTTTAAAACGACACAGCCAGCCTTTCTTCTCACTCCTTCCCATCCGTTGTAAGCTATCAAAGCGACCTCACCCGATAAGTTTCAACCAACGACTAAAACACTCTACGATATGGACCTACGGAATGAAAGTTTGGGCTGAATCAACTTTTCCAATCAAACATCTTAAGAAAATCCTAATGATTCCTACATATACGAAAAAACCCGTCAACACTGACCTACATAATCCCATTTGTTCACGACCTTGTGAGAAGTCGTTATAAGGTTTTGAATTTAATCCCGTTTCCACTCTTCCAACCCTCTCGTCCGATAACCTTCCACACTAACCCCTTCTGGAAATCCTCCCGTTGAGAGTGCTCGATTGATCTGCAAATATACTTTTACACTAAACTGTTGATTGTTTTTAGTGTTTATCAGTTGGACGAAACAACGAGAAAAGCTCTACCTAAGGTCCTGTTAGAAAATTGAAAAAAAATCTAGAAATCAATTGGAATTCCAACGATTATGTGGACAGTATATTAAAAATATTCGATGTATCGTGGTTAAAATTACAACGGCCCTTTGCTTAAATAGATTTTATCAGTTTGTATATAAACGGGTTATATAAAAAAGTAGACATTTTCTTTTTATAGATGTTCATAATTCCAATAATAAAACAATAAATATAAAATGAACAATCAACACTCTCATTGGCCATATATTTCAACATAAATTTAAAATGAGAAAGATTAAAATAAAATACATATATATTGTAGCAAAAGCAATCTATCAAAACAATTATGAATCCTATGATTTTTTTTAAATTTGATCGTTTTGATTTAGTGATCCTGAATACATGGGAATAAACAGGATGACTTTTTTGTGTCTACTTTTTTTTTTGAGATCACAAGCCTTCAAAAATACATTGTGTTTTCACTTCTCATGTCCCGACTGTCTCCTATATAGATCAATCCTGTGAAAACCTTTTACAGTTCTTTTTGCCAATAAATTGACTGTAAAAAAAAAGTCGAGTTTAGAATGCGACTGCATAACAGGAGCGCGATCGGCGGTTCTGATGGAAGACGGAAAACGTTATCGATTTGCTCCTCTCTACGGCACCATTAACATTGCACTCTGAGTATTTCCTTGTTTAAAAAAAATTGACATCCATTGAAGAATTATTTGATTCTTTCTTTTTCATCCAATTGAACACACAAAGTCCTCCATGAAAGATTTACAAGTAATAGGATCAACTCGATTTTTTTCCGAAAATCCTTCAGAAAATTCCCCCGATACATAATAAATTTTAGAAATAAAATATTTATGCCTACAGCAGAGAAATGTACGATATTTTATAAAATAAGGTTTTTTTTACATTGAGATCCAAAGATTGAATCATTGAATTAATTCATTATGTTCCATGTAAATTGGTGTATATAAAGAACAAGTGGGTGTATGTATAGTAATAAGAAACATTGTCTTCTGCTAAATTTATAAAAAGGGTGTAAACTTAGCAAAATAATTATTACATAAGTGTTGTAGTTAATTGTATACTATTATATTGTCTGAGAGAGTGTTGATCCTTTCCCTACCCCAAAATAAGCCTCTAAAACCCAAAACCAGTTTTTTTATATAAAAAAACAAAGAACGAAGGAAAATAGGTGTTCTGAAATCAAATTCCTTCAAAAATTTAATTGGTAGTTGACTATGTGTAAACCCAATTGTTGTTGAAGCTTTGTATTTAAGAGGAAATATTTCTAAAGTGAATTTCAAAACTATTGTGAGTTAGCTGTGATATTAAGCTTGGACGAAGTAGCAAGTGTAATGGAATGTCAATATGAAATAAAATTATACACACACGTAAAAATTGTATACTCTCTCCCCCTAGCTTCACTTGTAAATACTATACACTAGTAAGTGTTATTTTGTACTCCAACTTTCTGTATATAGAACCTTAAAAACCTAATAATGAGTTGTAAATTAAACGTAAATTGTTTCTAATATGAATAACATTATTTATGTATTTATGTCTAAAAGCTGTGCGGAGTATCCTGTAGAGAATTTCTTTTTCAAGTCCCAGCAAGGAATGTGTGTCGTTTTATATATTGTCGGGTAAATGAGTGCTTCTCTTTGCTTACATATTAGATATTAAAAGTAATAGAACATCACAGTACGCCGGTAATGGATTTTAAGAAGTTAAGCAAATAGATTTAAATGTTATTTACTTCTGTATTTATTGTAAAATAAATAGAATGTACATTCTTGTTTATCGCTAGTTTTTTATCAGCCCTTAATCTTCGAATAGATGTATAGATTTATTTTTATGGAAGAACAACAGAAATATCTGAAATCGGGTAATCCTGGGGAAAAAGCTCTTTTCTTTACTCGAGTAAATTGTTAGAAAAGTGTTTGTTTTATAGTTTTTCAGACAATATATTTCAACTTTAACCCAGTTTTCAAGCGAGCCTTGGTGACGTCAACAACGTCTAGTAGTTTTCAACTCCCATACTATACTCGGCAGACCGACAAACATATTCAAACTATAAGTAGGATGAGGCATGAAGTTACAAATTCCATTTCTGCAAATTTTGCTAGTTTCGCTTGAGGTCGATTTGAAACTTCACGTCTCTAAAGCTGTTTAGCCGCTAAGTCATCTGGAATAAAACAACAATTCCTGCGCCGATTGACTTGGGAGAAAAAAAAGTACGAATACGTCGAAAAAGAATTATTAAATTGTAAGAATGCAAGAGGAATTTTGTGTTTGAACTCCGTTTACAATTAACGATCACCTTATTTCCTTCCGTTATACAGCCACAATCCAATCCTATTTGCTAATTTTTTATTTATTTTTACCCTATGCATATTACATATTACATATTACAAATGCGATCATAGACGTTTTTTGACACGGTCACAACACAATAATAATGCACGCTCTGCACCGGAGGACACAGGAAATGCTGTCACTCAGTGTGTAGAATGAGGGGCTAGGAGGTCTCATGGCCATCGACGATTAAAACGACGCTGGTTCTCGAGATGGGAATGTGTTGAGAAGGCTTGAGCAGTATGGTTAGGATGAATCGAGAGGTTGGTGTGAAACTTTTGGAATCGGGAACGGATCAGTTTGTTGACAAAAGGAATGTTGAGGTCGTTGTGGATAGAGAGATTATTGACGTAGTAAGGGGGATGGCTTGGCAGAACCAGTTCCACTCAGTATATCCCAAGAGGCCGCAGTTAAGTCTTGTATACGGTTAATTAAGTGTTAACGGTCAGCACGGTTTCCGGTCCGACAGTCTTCGTAATTGTCCAATTTTTCTATTAAATTGTTATCTTTTAAGTCTTAGGACTTCACGCTAGTCTGCTGTTTAGGGATAAACCTCAGTATTTAACTAATGGAAATCGGTATTCCATGTCAGTCTGCTATCTAGGTATAGTCCTAAGTATTGGTGGTCTTGTTGATTTACAATTTAGGGCAAAACTGATTATTCAATGTGAACGTACACTGAGTGCATTTTGGTTCATTCACTGTTGTAATCCACTTTTTGCACTAGACATCGATAAGCTCACGATGTTCTTCGATGCTGGAGGTAGCTTTGATAGGATTTGAGTTAGGGGACAAAATAGCGGTATCGTCCGGGTAGATGACGGTATTGGGATGTATAGTAGGTCATCAGTATAGATGATATTTAAGGTAGGACCAACAATATGCCCTAGTGAGACGCCGGCGTGATTTCTGAGAACTAGCTGCCGCACCTCACTTTGAAGCAGCGGTCGGTTAGGTTACTTACAACCGTGCTGAGTCGGCTGGCACAAGAATATCGCTCCTAAACGTCATAATTTTCGAGATAAACTAAAAAAAAAAAAACGGCAAAAAAACAGATTTGTTTTATTTTCTTATTCGATGTAAAATGACCTGCTGAATCTATAAAACAATAATTAAGCTCGTAAAACCAGTAGTTTTCGAGATAAACTAAAAAAAAAACTGAAAAAAAAAATTCCGCGATTTTGCATGTGTTTTCAATGGAAACGACCCTGCTCCCTGCTGAGTCGATTGGCGAAAGAATGAAGCTTGTAAACTACATAGTTTCCAAGATATGGATACTGAAAAGGAACAACAACAAAATATTAGATCAAAAAAATTTTCCACGTATTTGCACTTGTTTTCAATGGAAACGACCTTGATTGGCGCAAGAATTAAGGTTAAACCTCGTAGTTTCCGAGATAAACACTAAAACAAAAAAATTGAAAAGGTTTTTCTCGACATATTTGCATTTGTTTTCAGTGGGAACGACCGTCCTGAGTCGATTGGCGCAGGAATTAACCTCAGAAACTATTAAGGTTTACTAGGTGAATTCCTAAAAAAAGATAAATACCAAAAAATATTAATTTTTCCCATTTTTGCACTTGTTTTCAGGTGAAACGGGCCCTGCTGAGTAGGTGATGATTTTACTAATGATTCATTCATTCAAATTTGATCTTACGTTTCTATAGACTGTGTTACCCAATTATGAACACGGCTAAACCACGTTTCTTCAAAAAGTCCCCGCTATTTGTGCAATATGGATCATTTTCGATTCACTCTTTGAGATCAAAATCTTTTTCCGCCTTGATTTTTATTTATTTTCGAGTTGAAAATGTTCTCTAACCATCTCTAGAACACGAGTTCATTTTTTCAAGTATTCTCGGTCTCCAAGTCCTGAGAAGTACTCTTTGGCCAATAACCTGATCCTTAAACACCAGATCCCCGACATCAGCAAGACTACACGAGACCCCTTCAAGCCCGGCCCCTGTTGCTCCGTGTGATAAAGTAACTGGCGACCGTTCAAAAATCAAACATCCCATAAATAAACCGTAGACCACAATACAGAAGGGAATTTACGGCGAATTCGGAACAAAAAGTGACGATCCGTAATGAGTTGACAGAATGAGGAGGGAAAACGTTACTCCTGACACCTGTTGTATGGTACTAATCTGTAATATTGATCCCGAAAATTTTTTCCTTCAAATCTATATAAAAAGATTCGATCGATAAAAAAGATGCCGTTTTTCAAATGTCGTGCAATCAGGATTCGATTCTCGGCGACACATGAAATGGCCACGGGGAGCTGTTAGTAAGCTATACTTCGTTTTACTTATTAAATCCATTATATTTAGTGGTCTATTGACCAAATTACGTCTTTCAATTAATTAATCTAACTACTTAATCATTGAAAAATGGCAAAAAAGGGAAAATTCGAAAGGTAGGTTGAGATGGGAAGTTGGTGTCCGAGTGGGTTCATTTAGTGTTGCGCCCACTTTTAACACGTCTTTGAAAGCTCAAGCTGTTCTTAATGTTAGGCAAGGATAGGATTTGGTTTGGGGGCAATATTGCGGTATCGTCCGCGTAGGTGGTTATGATGGTATAAGGGTGTATATGTAGGTCAGAAGTATAAAGGAACATACCAAGAATACTACCTTGTGAGACTGAGGGTCTGAATTCTAAGAACGCTTACAAAATTAAAATTAAAAATGAATCGTTTCAATATAATGAAGGGTTTTAGAAAAAATGCAATAATGTAATTTGTTACAATTAATTAAGGTTTTTAGTTGAGATAAAAAAGTCAATGGACGAGCGGGATTCGAACCCACGATCTTCGGCTAGATACGCTGCTGCTCTACCACTTTAGCTATCGTGACCTCGATCCACTCGGACACCAACTTCCTATCTCAACCCCACCTTTGGTGTCCGAGTGGATCGAGGTCACGATAGCTCAAGTGGTAGAGCAGCGGCGTATTTAGCCGAAGGTTGTGGGTTCGAATCCCGCTCGTGGCACTAACTTTTTCCTTTCAACTAAAACCTCACATAAAAAGATTAAGCAATTGAAAGAAGTAATTTGGTCAATAGACCACTAAATATAATGGACGTATTTATTTAGGCTCAGTCTTACATGTAATTTAAATAAATTGAAATATGAAGGGTTTTTTCCAAAAGAATAAATTTTTTTGAAGGATTAATATTCGTTTCATATGAAATCGATATGGCCGAGTGTAGTGGCACAAGAATTAAACCCATAAGGAGAAGGAGAATATACGTTGGTTGACGCAAGAATTAAACTCGTTAACCACAAAATCGTAATAAAAGTAAAATCCAAGAAGAAAAACTGTTTCGACGTATTTATCCACGTTTCCTATGGAATGGACCTTTCTGGGTTTGTTGTTCAAGATGAAAAAATGTATTTTACCGTATTTATAATAATTTCATATCGAATCCATCATGGAACAAGTATTAAACGCGGTCAAATCAACATTATCTAGCTTTTTAATTATTCGCTAGGATTTTGAAATTTCTATAAAAATAATGATAACGCAAAGTAAATAAAATACAATAAAACGTAAACTCTCTTGGGTAGATTGGCGCAAGAATTAAACTCATTAACCTTATAATAATCGAGATAAACTCAAGATTTTAAAAAGAAAACTGTATTTCGATGCATTTATACAGATTTCCTTTAGAAAGGAATTATCATGCGTATTAATTATTCGTTAGGATTTTGAATGTTCTATCAAAAATAATAAATTTAATGTGTAGAGATTAGTGACAGTTAATCTATAGTTATTCGGAGCCCCGACCGCATCTCACGATATCTGAATAACAATAAATTTAATTATCATTTGGAGATCGTGAGATGCGGTCTGGTGTGACGTAGGTTCAGAAAAACATTTTCTTTATCATGCCAACGTTTCAATCTTTTTTGAGATCATCTTCAGGGCCTGGGTTTTATAAACATTGTTTAAATTATACAAATAACTGTAGGTTGTGGAAAAAAGGGAATTTATACAATGCAAAAAAATATTTTTTATATTCAATCATCTACTCACTCAAAGTGTCTATTTTCTGTGTAGATGTGTCATTCTTGTGTGTCGTGTTGAGAGTACCAGTGAGATATTGCTGTTTTAGGTATATACACGTTGGATTTTGAAGGGGTGGGGAAGGAAGTCGGGATAGAAAGACATTTTTGTATAAGGAGTCGGCTTCTTTGAGTTGAAAAGAGCCGACGATGGTAAAAACGTTGGTAATGGTTCGGCCATATATCCTTTCAGGAATATAATTATGAAAAGGAAAGCTAAATTGTTGAAAAATGTTCGATGTGTGGAATGTGATGAATGTTTTATATGTTATATTATATGGTTTGTGTGATGTGATGATATATGTATATTATCGATATTGAATTTGATTAATGATATTGGCGTAGCTGCGACTGAGTTTACATGTGTCTGTTCAGTAATTGATGCTGATATAAACCATTTCTAAGAAATTACGGTTATGTTTGTTTTGTTCTGTGTGTAATACTTTTGGATTTTTGAAGTCGAAATTGTGTTGGTGTTCAAAATGGTGGGTAGCGAGTGCTGTAGGATTTTTCTTGGGTTTTTTGCAATCATAGATATGTTTCTTTACTCTCTTGTCCAGATATTGGGATGTAAGACCGATGTAAGTTGCCGGACAGTTTAAACAATTGATTGTGTAGATTACATCAGATTTATTTGTTATTGGTGTGGGATCTTTAATTTTAGAAAAAAGTGTTTGAATTGTTTTATAATTTTTGAAAGCTATTTTAAAGTTATCGGACGTGAGAAATGTATTTAATTTATGTGATAGGCCGTGAATGAATGGCAATATGTTGGTTTGTTTGTATTTGATAGATTTGATGTAGTATTATTAGTAATAGTGGATGGTGTTAGTATTGAGTGGTAGTTATTGATTATGTGTTTAGGGTAGTGATGTTATGGAGGATCTGTTTGTATATCTTTATGTTCTTGTGATGAAATGATTCATGGCTTTGGGTAATAATTCTGCGAAGTAACCCTTTGGCCGTGTTTATTATTGTATGAAGAAGATGGTGAGATGTAAAGTTGAGGTAGCTCTCTGTTTTTGTTGGTTTTTGATACCAATCTGTTATTAATGTGCCATCTGGTTGTCTTATTACGAGTGTATCTAAAAATGGTATTTTTTTGTTGTTTTCGATTTCATGTGTAAATTGTAGTCGTAGGTGAAACCTATCAAATGTATGTAATGTAGTTACAATTGTTCTGTGGGAACTGCTGTCAATATTTAAGCTACGTATTTAGTGAGGAAGGGTAATGTGAAAGGTAGTCGTGGTATGACTGTGTTTAATAGATGTGTCATAATTATGTCTGCAAGTATCGGGCCTAGGTTGCTACCCATGGCTATGCCAAATAGTTGTTTGTAAAAATGATTGTTATATGTAAAATATCCGTTAATACAACAGTGTCGAACCATTGTTGTGAACGTGTTTTTTGATAGACTTGTGTGTGGGCAATGTTGGGCCATTTATCTTTAATAATGTTCAGTGTTGTGTCTATTGGAATGATGGTAAATAATGATGAAACATCTAGGGATATGAGAGAGTAGTGTGAGGGGATGTGAATTTCATTAATTTTGTTAATGAAATGAACTGAAACATTTACATTATATGTGTTATTTGTGATGTTGAGTATATTGGTTAGGTATTTTGTCAAGTTGTATGTAGGAGTATTTACAAATAAAATTATTGGTCTAGAGGGTGGTGAGGTTTATGTGTTTTGATAGATCTGTATAGTTTCGGCGGCTTTGGAAAATTGTTTTAAAGTGATTTGTAGGTATATATGTCAATTTCTTTTTGTTTAAGTGTTTGTCTGTTTGATGAGAAAAGGGGTAGGGTCTGATTTGATTTGTTTTAAAATACATTTAATTATATAGTATAAACTCTTGATTCTCAAAATAAATTATATAAAACAATAATACAAAGAGAAAAATGAATTTGATGTCGTGTCCGTAAGAATCGACCATCCTGATATTTATACTAGTTCCCTATGGAATCAATCATGCCGCGTCGAATGGCACAACAATTAAGCTCGCAAACATCAAAATGCTGTAGCTTAGTAATTATTCATTAAGATTTTGAATATTCTATCAAAAATAATAAAATTAATAAATAGAAAACATAAAATGTAAAAAGTAAACAACCCTCCTGAGTCGATTGATGCAAGATTTAAGCTCGTTAACCTTAAAATAAGTGAGATAAACGCAAGAATCTAAAAAGAATGCTGTATTTTGATATATTTTTAGTCCATTTTCGTTCGAATCCATCCTTAGTGGATAGGACGAGAATTAAGCTCGTAAACCTCCAAATAACCAACACAAACGTAATACTCCGAGAAAAACATTTTTTTAAATAAGTATATATGAAATAGACTCTGTCTGGTCAATAATTACGATTTGTAACTTCAAAATAAGTTAAATATATGTAATAGTTCGGGAAGAAAACACTATTTTAACTTATTTATACTAGTTTCCTATTGAATCAATCATCGAATCGAATGGCACAAGAATTAAGCTTTTAAATGTCCGAATTATCTAGCTTATTAATATTTATTGAATTGTAAAAGTTCAATCTCAAATAAATAAAGTAATAAATATTCAACAAAAAAAAACCTTCAAAGCAACCTCCCTGGGTGATTGATTCAAGAATTAAGCTCGTTAACCTCAAAATAATCGAAATAAACGGAAGAATCAAAGACTAAAGTTTTTTTTGTACTCGTTTATTATTGAATATACCCTCGTGATATTATATTTTAGATTTTCTACACTGTTATTATGGTTTCTTTGTTGTTATTGTGTAGTGAAATTGGAAGACAATGAAGCAGAGATGAAATCAGAGGGGAGGGAATCTGGCTTAGATGACGTACCTGATGACAATGGCCAGCCGAATATTAATTTATTCAACGGATGGAACCGCTAATAGATAACCTGCCTTGACGTACTACATGACCAAGCCCTTCCACAATGAGGCAAATTGAGCATCCCCTTTACAAGTTCTGCTTGTTCATTCAAATTTCAATTTAATTTAACTTTAGGTACTTGGACCAAAATGAAACTATGCAAACAATGGCGATTAGTTTCAAGACCGTCGGAATGGCCTTTTTGGCCCGATTGGCTCGAATTGTCCGTCCTAACTTGCCTTTGATGTTGTTCTTTCGAGTGATAATGTTCCGGCGACACGTTTTGTGATTTAATCGACCATTCTGGATCGTTTCCGTGCCTTAAATGAAAATTAAAGTGGATAAATAAATAGGTATATCTTTCTACGAATTTTAACTGTATTTTTAATTTCAACAACCAGTTTGTATCTTGTACCAATAATCTTCTGTGTAAACAACGGTTTAGGAAAAATTCTAGAACCATGCGAACTATCTCTGCATCCAATAAAAAAATAGTACGTGGAAAGTTTTGCATATCCGTAATTTCTATATTTCACATCCATCCAGTTGGCTGGAGTGACAGCAGTGCCTTATTATGACCTTAATGATGGGAACCGCAGGTGTCAGCAAAATGGCTAGTACTGAATAAGTAAATATAAACTCGAACGCACTACCGGTCCCAGTTTGCTCTCGGTGAGGAAGACCGCCGGTTCCAAAAGGGAAACGATGAACCTCATTCATTTCATTGCTGTTTTCTGCCTTTCCGAAACGTGGTCTCTTCCAATCCAGCCATTGCAAAGCAGTAAGTGCATTTATAACAATACTAATTCGATTGTTGACTTTTCTACATTCACTTTAAAAAAATCCTTTCGAAATAGACACGATATAGGTTTTATCTTGGTTCATTTTTTCTCCACTATTGTGAAAAAAAGTTTTTAGCATATAACATATTTCACGACAATTTCTGATTACATTATAGGAATATTAAATAGTTTGTTGAAGTCGTTGAGGAGCGATCAGCAATATTAAATATTTCAAAATTTTAAAAGCCTGATTGTTCCTCTCAAGGGTTTATATTCTATATTTAGGAAAGATGAATTTTAAACGAATGATTTTCACTAATATTTTTACTTATTGACTAAAATAAATTACATCAAGACTTTTGGCAAAAAGCTGTTTCAGGTTATGATATACAATACACAATTGTCCATCATCATTTTCACGCTTCTTGACAAAAGCCGCTAAATACATCTTTTCCGAAGAGATTCATTCTGAAAAAGGGGCCATTTTTCCCCCTAACATAAGGCAGCTTAGAACAAATTGCTAAGAAATGATAGGTATTTCTTTTATAAAGCAAGCGAACAATGGATACAGATCATTAATATCCCTATACGGTTTCAAAGGTAGATTTATCAATTCTCCCCGGAGCTTCCATAATCCACCTTATCAGAGCCTAAATGACCAACTTGGATAATTACAATTTAAAAAGAAATTCTATTATGTCATGTAAATAAAATATTGATCTTTATTCAAATTCACTAAATGAATTTTTGTTTATTTTGTTATTTTGAATATTTTTTACTTTTTTAATCTTGACATTCTCATCTGCAAAACAGCCTTACGAAATCCATTAGATTTCTTAGTCCGATTGACCAAATAATTTATTTCAATTAATTAATCTTTATGTAAGGTATTTGTTGAGATAAAAAGTCAGTGTCACGAGCGGGATTCGAACCCACGACGTTCGGCTAAATACGCCGCTGCTCTACCACTTGAGCTATCGCGACTTCGATCCACTCGGACACCAACTTCCCATCTAAACATACCTTTCGTATTTTCCCTCCTTTTTTCAAATGTCGTGTAATCGATGAAGGATTGGATGCGCTAGATGTTGGAACCCCACAGTTCCACCCCGTATGTACAAAATGGTCGCAGTAAAGTCTTCTACAAGGTTAATTTAGTGTAGACGGTCAAAACGGATTTCTCTCCTAGAAGTCTTCGTAGCTGTCCAAATCTTTTGTTAGTTGTTAAGTATTGTCAAACTTTTTTTTCCCTTTCCTAAAAAGTTTTTTAAGGGTCGGAATTTTCCAAGAGACACGTGGAGTTTTGAAAAACAGGTTATTTTATTTCATATTTTTCATCGACGTTACGGTCTATTTTCTCTGCCCATCATCAGGAAATCCTAACAAAAAGTACAGTTAATTATTACATATTTCAACAGTAGTAATTAATATTATTGTCCTATCGATTAGGTTTCGTGGTCCTATTTCCCATCTAAATTATTTTCAATTAATTAATCTTTAAGTAAGGTATTTGTTGAGATAAAAAAGTCAGTGTCACGAGCGGGATTCGAACCCACGACCTTCGGCTAAATACGCCGCTGCTCTATCACTTGAGCTATCGCGACTTCGATCCACTCGGTCACCAACTTCCCATCTCAACCTACCTTTCGAATTTTCCCTCCTTTTTTTCAAATGTCGTTTCAAATGTTTCAAATCTATTCGATTCTCGTCGACAAATGACTCCCGCTTGTAACACGGACTTTTTTTATCTCAACCAATACCTTACATAAAGATTAATTAATTGAAAGAAGTTATTTGATCAATCGGACCACGAAATCTAATCGATTTAATACGTAAAAAGAAGTATATCTTCACTAAAACTTTCCGTTGCCATTTGATTTGTCGCCGAGAATCTAATAGATTTCATAACTTACTTCAAAATATACTTCTTAATATTGAAACAACTCTCTATTCATTTTTTAGTCCAACAATAAGCACACAATCGCAGCCATTAAAAAACTGTAAATATTTGTCTCAACTTTACTGTACTGCCAATAATGATCGAATAAATTAAACTAAAGGATTTTAAAAATCCTTTAGTTACAAATTCGTAGTATACTAACTGTTCGAAAAATAATTGGCTGTATAGGATCGATTAGATTTTGAGCAAATTATAGCGAAAAATGACAACACTTTGCCTTCTCCTTGAACAAACAAATACAAAATTTCTAAAACAAGGTAAAAACTTAGATTTTCGATATTTAAACAACAAAAGACTGTCGTGAAAAAATAAATGTGCATCAGAATCCGATTCCGTTAAGTAGAAATTGTGTTAAAAAATAAATAAATCAAAGGGAACTACCACCTGTTTGTCCCATTCTTCTGAAAAATTGTATTTCATCTTTCGGTACCCATTTCTGCAAACATCTTCACAATATTGAAACGATTCTCTATTCGTTTTGTAGACCAATAATAGGCAAACAATCGGAGCGAGAGATATTAAAACGAAAATTACCCAAATGAGGCTAAACGAATTTTTTTCATAAAAAATAAGGTGTAAAAATTTGTCGCAACTTTTTTGTTGTTGTCAATGTTCAAAATCCTTTAGCTACAAATTCGTAGTATAACAAGAAAAATAAACTAAAAACTAATTGGTTGTAGTTGACCAAGCAGATTTTGTGATAATGAGAGCAAAAAATGCCAACATTTTGCCTTCTCTTTGAACAAGTGAACAACCTTAAAAAAATACTAAAACACGGTACAAACATAAAATTTTGAAAACAGAAAATAAAGAGTCTCTGGAAAAAGAAACGCTTAATTAGATTCCATTCGATACTATCACGAGAAGTGGCGTTAAAAAATTAATTAATTAAAAGAAAAATAACACCTATTAATCCTTCTTCTGAAAAATTGAATTTTTCAGCTTTCAGTACATTGTTATTCAAAACAGTTCCTATTATTGAAACGATACTTTTTTTTTATGCCAATAATAATATCGAGCAATATACGTGTGTTAAAAAATATACCCAGGAGAGAAGGAATAAATTCTTAGTGAAATTTTTTGCACAAAAAAGGAACAAACGATTATTAAAAGCACCTTTTTGTCTTCCCTTTGAATATCGACTTGCTGAAAATTGCTGAAATACAGTAAAGTTGTATAGTTTAAATGCACGCAATGTCCTCATAAAAGAATGTATATCAAAATTAAAAACCATCGAGTAGAATAGAGTTTTAAAAAAATATTTTACAAAAAGTCAAAATCCTCAAAAAATCGGTCGCTGCCCGTTAAAAATATCAATTTTTCTTATTAACCCGTTAATAGATACAATTGTAAAACTTTACATAAAAATAAATGAGTCTATAGAGTTGGAATGTCTGATGTATAATGTTCTATAATGGATTAGGGCAAGGAAGAAAAGAAATAAAAAACTGATACTTCTCTCTTCCCTGGTCTTCTTCTCGACGGGATATCAAAAAGTAATTTCTGTATTTACTAATTACCCTGTTATTAATTTACATCTAGCTTTTCTATTTTTCGTAAATTGTCTATCTAATCTTCCCAATTATTAAGGCGTCGCATACATTTTTTCCCCGACAAACTAGGTCCAAAAATGCAGACAGATATTATGGTGACCGGTGTTCCGGACATAAAAATTCTTAACTCCTCTGGATTTTAAATTAAATTAAATATATGAAAAGGTGTACCAATCAAAAGATCCAGTGAAATATACAAAAAAATGGCTTTAAAAAATGTAGCCTTCGTTTTAAGCTCTTTAAAACCGTTTCTCCTTTTTGATCTGTGTCTTTTTCCCTTCTGTACAAAGAAAAGATGCTTCAGGTCTCATACAAATAAGAAAAACCAGGATGAGATTCACAAAAATCCCCTAACTGTTTTATTTTATATTTTCGTCCTAAATTATTTACAGAGATCCAATATGTACCACTGCAAGTAATTTATAACGATCTAAACTCTTGTAAGGATTCAGTCGATCGGCGAAAAAGTTTCAAAATTATCGCCATTTTTGCGATTTTCTGAAAAAATCAAAGTTAGTGCAAAGACAAAAATTTGAAAGATAAAAATTCCCGAACATTTGTTTTCTGAGTCATTTTGGGCAAAACAATGGCTCTTAACTTTGTTTCTTGCTAAAAATTTCCTTAGGTATCTGTTGATTTGTTTTTTGACGTAAGATAGGAAGGATTGTACTAGTTGAGATTAAACATGTAGGAAGGTACAAAAATCATAAGACGCTTTAAGTAAAGTAGTAAAAAATAGTTTTTTTTAAGGGTTTACAAATCGTAAGATGTTGTCAGTAAAGTAGTAAAAATAGTTTTTTTTTGTTTTTTTTTTTTAAAGGTTTACAAATCGTAAGATGCTTTCAGTAAAGTAGCAAAACAATAGTTTTTAGAAAAAAAGGTTTACAAATCGTAAGATGCTTTCAGTAAAGTAGTAAAACAATAGTTTTTTGAAAAGAAGGTATAAAAATCAAAAAACACTTTCAGTAAAGTAGTCAAAAATAGTGGTTTTAAAAAACAAAAAGGTTTACAAATCATAAGATGCTTTAAGTAAAGTAGTAAAACAACAGTTTTTAGAAAAAAAAGGTTTAACAATCGTAAGATGCTTTCAGTTAAGTAGTAAATAATAGTGTTTTTAAAAAAAGGTTTATAATCATAAGATGCTTTCAGTAAAGTAGTAAAACAATAGTTTTTTGAAAAGAAGGTATAAAAATCAAAAAACACTTTCAGTAAAGTAGTCAAAAATAGTTTTTTGAAAAAAGGTGTACAAATCAAAAAACACTAGTAAAGTAGTCAGCAAATAGTTTTTTGAAAAAAAAGGTATACAAATGATAAGATGCTTACAGTAAAGTACTAAAAAATATTTTTTTGAAAAAAAATCGCACTCGTTTTAAGCATCCTTTTTTATTAATATGTTTCCTTTACGTAGATTACATGTATTTCTTAAAGTAATGTATTGTGATGAATAGTGTAATATGGTGATAACTTTGAGTAAACAACAATGAAT